TAATAATAATAATAATAATAATAATAATAATAATAATAATAATAATAATAATAATAATAATAATAATAATAATAATAATAATAATAATAATAATAATAAAAACACCTTTGAACTGCAGAGCTGGAAGGGACCCTATGGATCAAATCCCTATCAAGGAGACCCAGTGGGGAACTGAACTCCCAACCTCTGGCTCCACAACTAGAGGCCTAAGCCATTAAGCTATCCTTTACCTTGCCATATCTTGGGGACACATACATTGAACAGCAACACATGCACACACCCAAACAAAACCCTTTCCCACTAGTAAAAAAGAACTAATGGACCATATAAACACAACACAAGGACATTCTTTGCCTTGTAAGGAGATCTCAGCTTGCCGTGTTAGAATCTGCATAGCAGCTGCAGTATAAACAGAAGGGCCAAAGTGTATGTAGTCGAGGATTTCATTCAAAGTAGTTTGTCTCTCCCCTCGCCCCCCAGGACTAAGGTTGCCATGTCTTATGGTACTGGCTGAATTCTCAGGGAATTGCAATGCATCTCCATACTTCATCACAGATGAAAAAGCACATCTCCAGGTGATTGGCCTTGAAGGCAAACCCTTAACATTGTTGTGTATAAGCTGACTTCAAAGCCTGGACAGCCCTATCAATACATTCCTGGTCTGTTCTTGTGCAATAAGGGTGTGTTATGACGTCAGGACCAGGGAAAGGAAAGACTGGGAAAGAGCCAGTGGGTGTGTGGACTTGGCCCCATCCTACCATCTGGAACAAGGAAGAGAATGGAGAAGCAGCATCGCGACTTACGAACCTTCTTGTTGTGCAAGCCCTGGCCATTCATGGCGGGAGGGGAAGGACTCTAAACAGACTAGCGGAATGCTGGCTGAATGGCATGGCGAAGTTGTAACACGTAGGTTGGGAGCTCAATTCCACACCGTGCCTCCATGGAGAAGAGGCCAGCCTGTGTGATCTTGGGCAATTCTGATGGTCCCCGACCACCACCAAAAAGCTGTTGCTTATGTTATTATGTACCGCCAACTTATGGTGATCCTATGAATGAGGCATCTCCAGAATGTCCTGTCCTGAACAGCTCTTGCAAACTCAAGCCTATGGCTTCCTTTAGGGAGTCAGTCCATCTCACATTGGGTCTTCCTCTTTTCCTGCTGCCTTCCAATCTTTCCCAGCATTATTGCCTTTTTCAGAGAATTCTGCCTTTGTACCCAAAGTAGGATGGCCTCAGTTTTGATAGTTTTGCCACCAAAAAGGATGGGCTGGCAAAGCTCTTCTGAGTACTTAATAACTGGAAGACCTTGAGTAGGATTGCCATAAGTTGGAATCAACTTGACAGCACACAACGATTACTATTAGTTGGGCAGTAGGTCAGGATCTGAGAACACTCTGTATATTAAATGTAGACATTAGCAAACTCCATGCGGGATACTTTGGCAGGGAAGGCAACAACTTTTGCAACTGCTGGGTAAATTTCATTGCCCGCCAGCAACCGATCATCACCGCCTATTTAGACAGCCTTACTCAGATTCAGGGATGTGGTGGCGCTGTGGGCTAAACCGCAGAAGCCTGTGCTGCAGGGTCAGAAGACCAAGCAGTCGTAAGATCGAATCCACACGACGGAGTGGGCTCCCGTTGCTCTGTCCCAGCTCCCGCCAACCTAGCGGTTCGAAAGCATGCAAATGTGAGTAGATAAATAGGTACCATCTCGGTGGGAAGGTGTCTAAGTCGCACTGGCCATGTGACCACGGAAGATTGACTTCGGACAAAAACGCTGGCTCTATGGCTTGGAAATGGGGATGAGCACAGCCCCCTAGAGTCGAACAGACTGGACAAAAATTGTCAAGGGGAACCTTTACCTTTACTCAGATTCAGGGCCCATTTCCTCAGATCCCCCTTGTTCCCATTTCCACACGCACTTGCGCACACCCCCAACCCTTGGGCTGCTTCTGTAACTCCTCCAGCTCTGCCGGGGTTTAAGATTTTGGTCACCAAATCTTGGGGAAAGGGAGGACAATGGCCTGACCGCTCTGCTCAGCACTCCCTGGTTGGACATACCCTTGGTAGGAGATGGTCAGGCCTGCCACCTCGGCATTCTGGCATCCCATGACGAACAGCAGAAGCAACATCAGGTAACCCAAGAGAGATGATAACAAGGAAAGCCTGGCGGCCCCCAAAACGTTCAGCCTGAATTTCTTCATAATCAAGCCCCCAGAGAATATACCAAGGGCTACGGCAGGGATATTGATGAGACCTGCAAACCCAGAAACGAGAAAATTAGCACAACACAATTTAATTGATAGCAATGCACAGAATTCCCTAGAATACGATCAACCCCCTACAGATTTCCTAACGCATTGTTTCCTCTCAATTAATTTCGAAACCCTCCGGATCGGTTTCATGCATTGTTTAGCAGTTGCTAAATGTGGGACTCTATAAAGTTATACATTTTGTTTTGACTCTCTTCCCCACCACACCGCTCTACCTCAAAGTGGGGATTATCTAAGCCTGTTTTGGTGACTTGCATATATGCTGTAATAACAGCAATAAATCTTTCGCATTTCCTTCACAAATGGTGCTTCCTCTGCTTTGCACCGTTTTAAATCGCTTCACACATAGCTAAAGGCTTAGTCCTCTGAAAAGCCTGAAATACAATGGAAGGCACTGTGTTAATGGGCAAGAATTGTTTTTTAAATGTTTTTTTCTGCGCAAATAGAGCTCACAAATTACATTTTCGAGGGCAGCATGCCAAGAAATTCCAGCTTATCTCTTTCTGAGCCCTCACATTCATTTCTCAGTTGTGTTGTGGTTATAGTATGCACATGCGTTTCTTTTCCTTTCTCTCTTCCTGCAAGGGTGATACCTGGCCATAAACCTGTTTAATATGCTGCTGGCAGTTAGGGATAGGATTAAATTTCTTGATAAACGTTGCCTGATTTACGGAAAGTAGTTTGTTTTCCTCAAAATTCTTGTATTTTGCCCACAATGGAATCTACACATTTCACTGTAAATGAAATACAGAAGGACCCTCATAGCTGCATGGTATTAGTTCTAAGACACACAGCCCAGATGCTGAAAACAGCAGATAATAGCAAACACTCTACATAGCATGGTAAAAAAATAAAACCCAGAAAATAATATTTTCACTATATATTACCAAAACCGGTCCCTAGAGGGAGCCACAGACCATGCGATATATTATTCAACAACAAGAATACATAGCATGGTCTCTAGCTCCCTCTAATGGCCAGTTCTGGTAAATACATCATAAAAATACACATTTCTAGGTTTTTCATTTTAATATTTTTAATATTTTCAGATCGCAGATAAGTGAAACCACAGATACTGATCCTGCAGATATTGGGGTCCTACTGTAACAAAATAAATTCCTGAACCCCAAATTTCCATCATCAAACCCAGAACAAGGTGGCACTCGCATCATCAGAAGCCTCCAGAAACTCCAAACAAATAAAGCCATGTGGTCCTCACACAACACAAAAACAAGGACAGGTGACACAAAGGATGACTTGGGAGAGAGAATCGAACCAACAGCCTCCAGAGATGGAATTTGCAGCCTAGACTTCTGATGTGTGTTTACTGCCTGCTTTGTAAATCATGTTTCAGAAACAAACCTGGCATGGACAACTCATGGTGCAGTGGTTAAACTGCAGTACTGCAGCCAAAACTCTGCTCATGATTCAGGATTCAATCCCAGGTCACTGGCTGCTCATGACTCAGGATTCAATCCCAGGTCACCGGCTCAGGGTTCACTTAGCCTTCCATCCTTCTGAGGTCTGTAAATTGAGTACCCAGCTCGTTTGGGGGACCGGCTCAGGGTTCACTTAGCCTTCCATCCTTCTGAGTTCCGTAAATTGTGTACCCAGCTTGTTTGGGGGGAAGGGGGGAGAATGTGTAGTCCGCACAATTGTAAACTACCCAGAGAGTGCTTTAAGCATTATGTAGTGGTATATACAGTAAGCAGCACCCTTTTGCTTTGGGGACTTTTTTTTTCACCTCTGCACCTTCAACATATTGATGTACAGCCTGGTGAAGAGTAGTATATATCGGAAGCGAGCAATTACTAAATAAAAATGTTAGTGGTCTAATAAATCATCATTATTATCTTTGAAGTGCCGAGCTGGAAGGGACCCTAAGTTATCACCTGTCCTTGCTTTTGCTTTAGAAGCTAGAGAAGGATGAGCTTTCTGAAGCTTTCTTTGCATTAATGGGAGACCAGACTATACCTATAACAAAATTTGTCTTTGAAGACGATTGTCCAAACTGCTGCTCGATATATTTGGGCTTATAGGTCACCATGCCAATGAGTGAATTGAACTGGATGATGCTGGAGCAGAGATATAAAAAGTAAACAGGGTTCCCAAAGAGGCTTTTCAGTGAAGGGAGAAAATCTGAAAAGAAAACAGTGATTTCAGTATTGAGAGACAGATCAGAAAACAACACCAACAGAAGTTTGTCATGCAAGAATGTTTTCTTAGTAAAGAGTCCTTTCAGAAGTTTGGACCAGATATCATCATCATCACCACCACCACCACCTAGTAGTAGTTATAGAACAAAGAAATGTCTGGATTATTGACATTGCAATTCCAGGGGATGCCAGAGTTGAAAATAAAGAATTGGATAGACTAACAAAGTACAGAGACCTGGCCATTGAAACATCTCGCTTGTGGATGAAACACACATCAGCAGTCCCCTGTAGTCATTGGGGATTTGGGAACAATATCAAGAAATTTCACACAGTATTATAAGCAGTTACACATCTCAGAAATTACACTATCAGAGCTCAAAAAAGATGGCAATATTACAGCATACATACTGTGCGTATATTTAACAGATATTTAGGTTTTTGGTTAAAACTTGTATCTGTTATATAATACCAGTTAATGTTTTTATAATTTTGATTGACTATGCCTGGTGTTTTGAATAATAATAATAGTAACCTTTGAACTATAGAGCTGGAAGGAATCGTACGGGTAATAACCTTTGAACTACAGAGCTGGAAGGAATCGTACGGATCATGAGTCCAGCCCCTCTCAAGGAAGCCCAGTGGGGAATTGAACTCCCAACCTCTAGCTCCACAGCCGGAGGCCTACGCCACTGAGCTAAGTTAGTTCTTCCACTGATTTCAGTAAAGCAGTTGTTAAGTAGGACTATGTCTAGACTCCATCCAGTATTGGGACTATTACTGACTGGGCTGACCATTACATCAGCCACTCTTCCTGGAATGAAAAAATATGGTACTTCTTGAAATCTCAGGGGTTGGTTTGCTGGTTGGTTTGCTGCTGTCTGGCCACCCTAATACGGAGACATGTTTGTTTGCTGACTTCTGTGGAGGGGTGCATTGATCCTGCGGCAAGTTCAGTTTTGCAAAACCCATCTGGCACATTGGGAACTGTGTAAAACTGTTTAAAAACTAGGGTACAGAGGGCTGCTTCACCACACCGCAATTTTGCAGTGCGACTTCCATTCACTTCACCCTTCACACAGGAAATAATATGGGTTAAGTTTCAAAGGTACTCTTTCGAGAGGCACCGCATAATTATTTAGCAGTTCCCACAAGAGGTCATTGTCTTGCAAAAATGATTTTTCCGTGCACGTGTGCGTGCAAATTAAGCAAAACCGCACAAAATAATACTTTGCTCAAAGAGTCGCAATCCGATTACTCAGCTTGTCTTTCTTAGTAAAAGCCAAGTCATGCTACTCACGTGCAGCCAGACGTGCAAGTGCTGATTTCAGAATGCAGAATTTACTGAGTATTCTTTACAGTTTTGTATTTTACACCACTCTGAACAGTTTACAAATTAAAACTCAGAAGCCCACATGACCCCATACAACAATATAATCAATATTCACGGATGTAGATCTAAAATTCATACAATTCATACAACGGGAAGAAGAAAGAACAAGAAAATAAACAAAAATCATTATTAAAAGCATCTGGAAGGCAGCTTTGTATGATTCTGTTTACACTAATTTCCTGGATATCAGGAGGGAAGGAGCCTGATGTATCTCAATGGGAAGCTTACTCCAAAGGCTTGAGGCTCGCCACTGATACCTTTCTGGCCTCCCTCAGGGTGATCACTTTTAGCAACATAGACTGAGAGGAGTTGCTAAATAGATCATGTTTACAAATTAAAACTCAGAAGCCCACACGACCCCATATAACATATTGAATTCCCAACCTCTCACTCCACAGCCAGATGCTTAAACCAATAAGCTGTCCACCAATGGATAGCTGATTTCTGAGAGGATGTTCTAGGAAGCATCATTATTAAAAGCATCTGGAAGGCAGCTTTGTATGATTCTGTTTACACTAATTTCCTGGATATCAGGAGGGAAGGAGCCTGATGTATCTCAATGGGAAGCTTACTCCAAAGGCTTGAGGCTCGCCACTGATACCTTTCTGGCCTCCCTCAGGGTGATCACTTTTAGCAACATAGACTGAGAGGAGTTGCTAAATAGATCATCTTAGCACTGCAGAGCTGGAAAAGACCCTGTGGAGCATCCAGCCTGTGTCAAGGAGGCACAGTGTAGGAATTGAATTCCCAACCTCTCACTCCACAATCAGATGCTTACACCAGTGAGCTGTCCACCAATGGATAGCTGATTTCTGAGAGGATGTTCTAGGAAGCATCAGGCTCTGAAATCATTAAGGGTTTTATAAACCACAATCAGCAGCTGGAACTGAACATGAAAACTGATAGGAAGTCAATGAAGTTGAGTCGAGACTGGGGATATATGATCAAATGCACTGGTTCTAGGTATCAGTCTGCCCACTGCATTTTGGACATACTGAAGTTTCCGTACTGTCTTCAAGGGCAGCCTTACACAGAGAGCATTACAGCAGTCTATTTTTTGAGATTATCAGTGCATCTCTTTACAGCCCTGACGTTCAATTACATTTCAATCCATTTAACCTACATTCCCAATGAACACAGTTGGCTAACTTTATTCTATAAGGAAGAGCAAACTGCAGTCTGCCAGGGCCCCAAATTTGGCTGCTCAACTTCCCTGAATCTTCCTGTTTGCATCTTTAAAAAATAAGGGTGCAAGGAAATCCCATCATACCTTTTAGGAGGCATAGGGGGACACATTTGCACAATTCTGAGGGGCACCAACATCTCAGTCCCTGAATAATTTGTTAAATTGGCTGCTGGAGGATGTGAGAGCATATTGTTAGGAAACGAAATTTTGTATTAAAAAAATTGGGTGGGGGAGAGGGCTGGAGTGCAGAAGCGAGTCAAGTCCTTTGCAGCAGGAGAAAATGGTGAATCTAATTTTGAGAGAGAGGGAGTCCTTCCAAGATTTTACTGTTGATTCCGCAGATGCTATTCAAGGTGCGGAACCCTCCCTCCAAAATAGGCTGAGTCCCTTCCACAAAAAACCCCCTTAAGTGCAGATTAAAACCTGGAGTGGATTTTTTGGCCCACCTGAAATTGGAAGTATCACAAGGTGCGGAACCCTCCCTCCAAAATAGGTTGAGTCCCTTCCACAAAAAAAAAAAAACCCTTAAGTGCAGATTAAAACCTGGAGTGGATTTTTTGGCCCACCTGAAATTGGAAGTGTCAGCCTGCACTTATTGGGGCGTTCCCTATCCATTCTCTAAGGATATAAGAGCAAACCAGTATCAGGACAGTTGTGACATTTACTAGACTCTAGTGAAAAGTCTTAATATAGATCCATGAACCTCACCTTTTGCCAACTCCAGAAACTTGACTTCCTCTTGGTAGGAAATGTGATGTTCTCTGTTATCTTCAATAATGAACTTGGATTGCTCAGAGGAAGTGCTGGAATCCTTTCGGGCCTCCGGCCTTGGAAGGTGCTTTGGTAAAAACCAGAAAGGGATAGCAGCAAGGACGCTGATCGCTCCTGCTATTAAATAGCCCAGCCACCAAGCTCCTACCCACTGAGAATCTTTATGAGTTATGGAGATGCTATCTGGGGGGAAAAAGGACTTCTGTAATCAGTAGGAATACACCAAAGGTAACCGACATTTCAGATATCAAACTGAGATGGCTTAAAGGGTTGAGTCTTGTTTTTAGATTTTTCTCTTTTTTTCATTCCAAGTGTGTAGGATTTCTTCCAAGAGCCCATTTTTGGATGTAGGGAAGTGGTTCAACAGCAAGGCAGAAAAGCAGTTGAGTCCCCTCTCAACAAATACTTTCAAAATAAGTCCAGGAGGTCTTGGAATGCCCTTTCATTGGATTTCATGTTGTCCGGTTACTGGCAGACAATATAGGTTCTTAACCCTTACTCAACTAAAGTTCTCGGATCTAACCTAAGCTGAAGCAGCCTTGAATTTGCTGGAGCAAGAAAACTTTTGTGACATTGTCCCGGTTTTAAGTCTGTCAATGACAGATGTGAGTAAGAAGGAGATAACTCAGACTTTTTCAGCCATATGTTTATTAACCATTATGTACACTTCCTGGGGTCTCTCAGTATTAGGAGAAAGCTAGAATACGAGCACAGTAGTAAATACTGTAATACATCTGTTGTTTTGCTTGGAGATGGGGAAACTGAGCAGAAGAAGCAAGGACATGAAGCATTCTGTTTCTGGTGGTCAAGGAAGGGGTTATTCTGGCGGGCTTCCATTAGTTGCTATGACAGCTGGAGTAACTCTAAGGTGCTGTACATAGGATGACCATACACCTTGTTTTTATCTTCTAGATTCATATAAATAGTCACAACATTTAGGAATATATGCAAGACAGGCCATATGTCACTTTTTGAATTGCAAGGTCTGTTACCATACACATAAAAACAAAGTCTACATATTCCACTACTAACAAAGCTGCCAGTTAGATTACTGTGGGTCCTTCTGAATCACCATCTTATATCAAGCTTATTGTATGCTGGAATTATTAACGTTTTATGCTTAAGTACAGTAAATTTGTATACCATATTTTCCATGTATAAGACTATGCTTTTGTCTAAAATCTTTAGATTGAAAATTGAGGGTCGTCTTATACACGGAAGTAAGCTGAGGAGAGAAAAAACAAGTGGAGGGGAAAGCAGGGATCAAAGCAATCCTGCAGAGCTTTGATCCCTTTCCCCTACACTTGCTAAGCCCCACGTGGATTTCTTAATTTTGGGTTAGAAAAATGGGGGACGTCTTATACATGGAGGCGTCTTATACACAGAAAAAGACGGTAGGTGTAAGGAGAGTGAGACAGTCCCTTACCCCTTGAGCAGAGGAGGCTGATTTTAATGCTGGTGAGGGAAGAATATCTTCCAGTACACCTCAGGGCAAAAGGACAGCTTAGAGCAGTGGTTCCTAACCTTTGATCCTCAGATGTTCTTGGACTAAAACTCCCACTAGCTGTGCAGGATTTCTTGGTGTTGTAGTCCAAGAACAACTGAAGATCCATAGTTGGGAACCAACGGCTTAGACCTCTAAGTTTTAAAGAATTCCCAATGTCAGAGATAAGAATCCTGTCCCTAGCAGAAAAATAAATTCCTCCATTCGTTTTCCAGGGCTGCTCATCGATACTAGCTTATAAGCAAAAATAAATTCCTCCATTCGTTTTCCAGGACTGCTTATCAATCACAATCTTTATATACTAGCTTATAGAAACAGTGGGCAGCTAATGGACCTTTGAATGTCATTGAGTTGCAAACCCACCAACTCTAGACAACATAAGCAATTGTGAGTAAAGAAGGGAGCTATATTGCAACAACAAATGGAAGACACCAATTGATTAATAGGGACTTCACTGCAATGAGACCGCTCTGGGAGCATGGATATGCTATTCCTGCTGTTTGCAGGCTGAGATGCAAAACTGCCCTGTTTGCCTAGACTCACCCATATCTACGAAGCCAATGTCTACATACAGCTTGGCACACAGCGATCCCAGAAGAAAACCAAAGATGGGGCCTATAATTGCAACGGTCTGCACACATCCTACAAAATAAAGAGAAAGTTACATTGGTTAGACTGAACAGTGGAAATCTTATCTCCTATAATTGCAACGGTCTGCACACATCCTGTAAATAAAGAGAAAGTTATATTGGTTAGACTGAACAATTGTAGCCTTATCTCTTGGATACGAATCAGAGGAACAAGAGGAGCAGCAGGAGGAAGAGAGGGCAACTAGTTTTTACCTCAGTGGCCAAAAGTGCCATGTTCAAGAGCACCCTCAGGATGGTTTGGGGGAGGGGCAAAGTCAATTAATGGAACCTATGGTTTGCTCACATGACTGTAGTTTTTTACCAGTACATCTTTTGAGAAATATCAAATGTAGGGTTTGGGAAGGGGGAGATGGCAAGAATTCTCTCTTGTCATCCCAACACCTATGTCCATATCTCACTCTTCTCTTTAGAGCAGGGATATAAATCTTTGTATAATCGATTTTTGCAGGTGAGAACCCCTCACATTTTTTGCATATGAGCACTATTTGCAAAAACCGAACAAATCTAAAAACCCCACTATTTGTGTGAATAAATATTGTATTGTATGAAAAAAACCTAGTGCAGAATACAAAGATTCTTACACAAATGACAAGGTTTTAAGCAAAGAGGTTCTATCTTTTTTGGGGGGAAATGCACAGTTTTTACGCCTGATGCAACGTTTTCATACAAATGTGTTTTTTACATAACACTGATTAGCATTGTTAATATTTCTGGTAAAAAATATGTTGATCTTTTCGCTCTTCTTCTGGAATGAAAAATTGTGCAGTCTTTTAACTTTTTCTCTTTTTGATGAGATGTCTTGATTTGCTAAAGGTACCCCTCCCCTTTTTTAAATCTTTGCTTTCTTAACTTTCTGTTAGAGTTTTAAAATGTTTTTTATATACTTAATGGAAATCAATTATCGTTTTTGTTTAATTGTGTTTAAATCTATAATTAACTGTGGTTTTAGTGCTACTTGTATTATTATTGTGAGCTGCCTTGGGTCCCCTCATCAGGAGAAAGGTGGCATACAAATGAGAAAAAAGGAAGGAAAGAAGGAAGGAAGGGTCCCTCTAGTCTCCAGCTTGATGCCAATGGCCTCTCTAGGCCACTTGTGGGCCTCTCAACGGTGTCAGTTTGGCTAGAGAAACCATTAGCATCAAGTTGGGGACTGGAGGGGCCATTGTTCTAACCTAGGAGGACACTTCTCTAAGTTCTAGCAAAAAGTGAGGAAGCCAGCTAGCATGGCCACAGAGATGGAAAGGGAAAAGGGAAGCAGAGAATGCAAAGGATGCTTGAGTGTTGCTGGCTTTTTTTACATACCAATGTAAAAGGCGGCACTCTCTTCGGTGGCATAGTCGTCGATGTATGCAATTCCCAAAGGCTGGATGGGTGTTTCCCCTATTCCACGCAGGAGATTTCCCAGCAAAACGTAGATCCACATGGAAATGCCAGATTCCTTTTCACACCCTGTCCACAGAAACCCAAAAGTTGGAGAATTGTATTTGGACCAACAACTGCAACAGCCACAACAAACAGGGTTGCGAAGCCATCAGCATCCTATTCCCAGGATATTTTAGGCCCCAAAACTAATGCTAGTTCGTTCGTTCGTTCGTTCATTCATTCTTTCGTTCATTCATTCGTTCTTTCGTTCATTCGTTCTTTCTTTCTTTCTTTCTTTCTTTCTTTCTTTCTTTCTTTCTTTCTTTCTTTCTTTTACTGCCCATCTGGCTACAAAACCACTCTGGGCGGTTCACAACAAAAGAAGGTAATAAATGAAAACTATGAAAAAACCCAAGAGAGCCCAATTCGTGGTTCTCTCCTTCCGAACCTCACTTGGGGTCAATGTCCTCAACCGCCTGGCCTGGGACAAATGGGTCAGACAGGCAGTTCTCACTGGAAGGAGGTGTTCTGACAGGTACTGAAGTCCCAAACCGTTTAGGGCCTTGATGGCCTTATGACATCGTGATCCCTTCTGATATCATAGAAGTGGGACAGGATAGGTTTGGGATGGGAGTGCATCTGCTTATAGAAGAGGGCTCAGAGCCTGGGTAAAACCAGATTGAGAAATATTGCAACGCCAGGAAGCAAGGAGGGGGACCTTTTCCACAGCTGGACACCGGTAGCACAGCTGCAACAGTTGCCATTATTCACAAGGATCAGATGGTTTCAGGGCAGGAAGCCACACCTCACCTCAGAGAAACCCTATTTAGCCCATTCCCAAATAGAGTCACTCTTATTTCCATTTACAATCGGAATACATCATAATTGTGGGACACCAAGGGAAAAGTAAGTGCATTCAATAAACAGCACAAGTTCAAGACTGCGATGACCTAACTGCTGGATAGTTCAGTGATTTAGGTATCTAGCTGTGGAGCCAAAGGTTGGGAATTAAATTCCCCACTGGGCTTCCTTGAAAGGGCCTGAACTCAATGATCCACAGGGCCTTCAGTTCTAAGATTATCATGATATAACCTACATTAGAAGGAGGAAATCTTTGGTGCACTGGACAGTTCGGCATATAGTTCTCAGCAACTCCCTTCCTTAGATATAAATGGTGAGGTATGTAGTCTAAAGCATCTGGAGGGGGGCGCTGGAGCAAGCCAAACCTGTGAAGATGGCTGCAGCCTTTTTACAGTGTGCATGAATATATATTTTCCTACAATTTTAATTTAGTTTCAGACTTTTTGTCTTGAAATTTTTAGTTCCTGCATTTGTTTGTATGCCCTTTTTATATTTCATCTTGTGTCTTAAAATTCACTTGCAACTAAATCATTAAATGTTACTTTTTGGGGGGCATTTCATTTTCTTGGAATTTAATTTTGTTTTCAGGGGTCATTGGATTTAAGTGTCTTAAATAAATCAATAAATCAATAAATCAATAAAAGATATCATCACCGCGGGGAGGGGGGGCCAAATAGAGTCACTCTTATTTCCATTTACAATCGGAATACATCATAATTGTGGGACACCAAGGGAAAAGTAAGTGCATTCAATAAACAGCACAAGTTCAAGACTGCGATGACCTAACTGCTGGATAGTTCAGTGATTTAGGTATCTAGCTGTGGAGCCAAAGGTTGGGAATTAAATTCCCCACTGGGCTTCCTTGAAAGGGCTGAACTCAATGATCCATGGGGCCTTCAGTTCTAAGATTATCATGATATAACCTACATTAGAAGGAGGGAATCTTTGGTGCACTGGACAGTTCGGCATATAGTTCTCAGCAACTCCCTTCCTTAGATATAAATGGTGAGGTATGTAGTCTAAAGCATCTGGACGGCCAAATTTCTCTGCCTCTAACCCAAACACAACAGAGTACAAGGAATGATCAAAATGAACCGATGACAACAGAACAAAATTCCAACCCAGCACTCAACAATTGTTGCAAGTCTTAGCGCACCATAGCAAGAGCCAGCAGAATATTGGTTCAAATACTGGCCAGAATCCCAGTGGCGTTTTATGGATGTGTAAACAAACTTGCATTAATTCATGGCAGTGAGCTGCTGTTAATGAACCAAGGGCTGGATGCATTCCTGGCCATGTGCACATTGTGTGACTGGGCATTCAGTGAAGAATGTGAACAGTTTTGCATTAATTACTCTCAGTTTTACACTTCATCTCACAGTTTCATCTACACATGAGTAAGCCAACAATCGGATTCCAGGCACTCTATATGCATACCTACACTCAGACATACACCTATATACCTGTATATGTGTATACCTGTATACATTAGTGATGTGCAGATTTATGTTTTGGGACTACTGCTTCCAGAATTCCCCATGTCTCTGCGCACGCCTGGTATACAGACTGCAAACTATACAATGGTGCCTTGCTTAACGATGATAATCCGTTCCAGGAAAATTGCTGTTAAGCAAAAATTAAAAATTAAAGCGAAATTAAAAAGCCCATTGAAACACATTGAAAACTGTTATTCCCGGCCATGTGCACATTGTGTGACTGGGCATTCAGTGAAGAATGTGAACAGTTTTGCATTAATTACTCTCAATTTTACACTTCATCTCACACAGTTTCATCTACACATGAGTAAGCCAACAATCAGATTCCAGGCACTCTATATGCATACCTATACTCAGACATACACCTATATACCTGCATATGTGTATACCTGTATGCCTTACTGGTGTGCAGATTTATGTTTTGGGACCACTGCTTCCAGAATTCCCTATGCCTCTGCACACGCCTGTTATACAGACTGCAAACTATAGCATCATTTTAATACACAGACAGACAGACTGTTCTTACCTGCATGACTTTTGGCTTGAGATCTTTCCAAGACTGAGAGTGGTATTTGGTTTTGATCCTGTAGACATGGGGAGATGCTGACAGTTGAATTGGAGGTGGAAGAAAATACCTCATACCTATAGCTGTGTAAAAACCAACAGTTTCCTTAAAGGCATCCCGCCTGTTAAAATCTAAGGGGGGGGGGAATAGCACTTCTAACTTATTGCTGAGTCTTTTTGATTTTAAGACCGGTTCTCAAGATGTTGAAGCAGGAAATAAAGAGCAAGGAAAGGACACGTTTACTAGTGCTATTAATTAAAACAATGCTGTCTATGGTAAGAGGCTCTGTGTTGTGATCACATAGAGCTTTTTTGTAGTTTACTCCGGTGTGGGGACGTGGTGTCGCTGCGGGTTAAACCACAGAAGCCTCTGGGCTGCAGGGTCAGAAGACCAGCCGTCATAAGATCGAATCCACACAACGGAGGAACCTCCCGTCGCTTGTCCCAGCTCCTGCCAACCTAGCAGTTCGAAAGCATGTAAATGTGAGTAGATAAATAGGTACCACCTCGGTGGGAAGGTCACGGTGTTCCGTGTCTAGTCGGGCTGGCTACGTGACCACGGAAACAGTCTTCGGACAAATGCTGTTTCTTGGAAATGGGGATGAGCACCATCCCCTAGAGTCGGACACAACTGGTCTAAATGTCAAGGGGAACCTTTACCTTTACCTTACTCCAGTGTGCTCCTGCCCAAAAGAGGCAGCTTCCAGATCTGCCTCAACATTTTGGCAGCAACTGCAGTGGCAGAGATCAACTGGACAGCAATACAACTATGGTAAGTCTGGGAAAGAAAACAGCTTCCAAAATTTGCCTTTCTCAGCTTTAGTTCATTAATCCCATTTTTGTACTTGTTCTTACTACCAATACACTTTGTATAATGTTCAACTGAAATCTCCCCTTTTAGGAGCTGGAGACTATGTCTGAAGATCATTTCATCCTCTAGGAGATATCAAGGATGTTTCCAACTCTACACCAACTATGGTAGACCCATAATTTTGTTGAATCTCATTTGCACAGCTGTCAGTGTGAACACTGAATTGCAGTCAGTACAACCTACATACTGGAGACCACCAAGTAATACCAGGGATCACAGAGGGATAGGAGAAGGCTTTACCAGCAATAGGTCCTTGGTTGCACAATGCCTTCCTTTATTCCAATGCCAAGTTAAAATGAAACTGTTCATCTCAGCATTCAAGACAATAGGTCCTTGGTTGCACAATGCCTTCCTCTCGGAGGCTTGACCTGTGTTGGCATCGCCTTTATTCCAGTGCCAAGTTAAAATTAAACTGTTCATCTCAGCATTCAAGATGGAGGGAGAACATCTCCTGGTTTCCAGTCTTCCAGTTTTGTGCTATCTGCTTTGCTTGAATTGTTAAACTGCTTTAAAGTGTTCTAAACGGTTGTAACACATTTGAATTGCTTTAGATTCTTTCGATATTATTTCGTTAGCAACATAAAAATATAGGTCACATCATTGATCCATTTAACCCAATATCATTAGCTCAATCAGCAGCAGCATTCCAAAGCATCAGGCAGGATTGTTTCCTAACCATATCCGAACATGCCTGGTATTACCTCATCATTCCTACCTAAGTAATCATGGATTGTCCGCCATGAGCCCTCAAATCTATTGAAAGACAGTTAATTAGAATTGCTGTAGTACAGAAACAGAAAAATAATATCTGTGCAACTCTGCATTGTGTGCAAGGGAACTGGAATCCATTGTTGGCGAGAAACCGTGTCCCCTACCGGTTGCCATCCTCATCCTCATCATCATACGGTATTAGCAGGCAGTTTTATAATACACTGTTTTGAAGGTATGGACATCTTTGGTATTTTAGAAGACTGAGATTTTTAATTACAAGCAATGGTCTACTTACCGACCCATGAAGAACTGTGGCATGGCTATCAGGAACGTTCCAAATGACATTATGAGGCAACCAACTCCAATTATCTTTGGCCGATGAAGTCTGGCTCCAAAGTAGCTCACCAGAATGATTATTAAAAGATTCCCTTCAAGAAACATGGGAAGACCACAGACTGTGAAGAATGTCTATAAGAAAAGCTTGTTAGAATTTTTATAAACCCGCATGCTACCTGTAGTTTGTTTGACCGGGAAGGACCTTTCTGGATGGGGTGACTGTCAATCCATCCAGCACTAACCAATTGTTGCCTCCCATCTCTGAATTCAAAGAGAGCTCCACCTCTCTGCTAAGTGTTCTTTTCCCTTTCTTTAGTCTATTGGAAGCAGTGTTTGTTTGTTTTGCTGTTGATCTATTTACAACTTTAAGTAATTAAACATTTTTATTCTTTCTACTGTCTCAGAGCTATTGAGACTATAACTGCCAGTTCATGAGAAAGGGGTGGACTGTCTAGGAAATTTGAAGCTATTCACCTTTATGGATCTCTATACTTCTACCACGTAGCAAAAGAAATTTTTACCAGAAATTTAAAACTCTGCAACAAAGTTAATGCACCCTTTTCAAGTTATAAGGCCAGTAAAATCTTTGCATGTGGGGCTTACCAATCTCAAAACTCCCATCTATGAGACCAACCAGAGACGAAGGGATATCAAATCTTCTTTCAATTTGGGTAATGGTACTTTTCAAGTAGCTTCCTGAGAGAGCTTTTGCAAAGTAAACAAACGATAACGCACAAAGAAAAATCTGGGGGAAAAAAAGAAGAAGAAACAATGGGATTCAGTATCTGGTGTGAACAGGAGACAACCTCATAAGGAGGGTCTGGAGCAATCTTTCTGTTCCGGCCATTTCCCCCCCACTTTGGCCTTCTTTGTACAATGAGACTCCATCATGGTCTCTTCAATCTCCTCAAAAGATCTCAGCTCCAGAAGAACAGCAAAGTACCAAAGACTCTCTCTCTGTGTGTGTGTGTGTGTGTGTGTGTGTGTGTGTGTGTGTGTGTGTGTGTGTGTGTGTGTGTGTGTGT